AAAATTCAATCTATGGCATTGAGATTAGGGAATAAAACATATAAAAGGAGAGAAGAGATGATGAAAAGTGAATAAAGCAAGGGAGGCAAGCAGAGGTTCTAAAATATAAAGGGAGCACATAAAGAAAATAGCACTGTGAAAGAACAAGATCAAGAAAAAGAATACCACATGGAGTATTACTGGCAGATAGATTCAGATTAATAAATTACCTGTGTTCCAGCATCTAGCTGCCTTAGTGACCAATATATAAACTTTATAAAAGGCTCATGATATTTGGCATTCACAAATGGCATCCACTGCAGCTGCTCAGCAATCACAGGCAAAAGCTAAAGATAAAATGATGGGAAACATAAACATACAGTATATTTAGATGTCTGAAATAAATTACCACAATTTATCATAAATTCTCTTTTAAAAAATAGTTTTCCAACAGAAACCATATGCAATATAATTTGGCAATTAAGTATTTGAAATTTTTAATGTTTTTCCTTTTATCTCCTTTGAACTAATCAATAGCACATACTGGAATTTAATCTAAGGAGATTAGATAGACAAAGCTACTCTTTGACTTTTAAATGGTTCAATGAATCAGACTGGTTGAATCTACATTTATTCCCTAGGGGGAAGTTGTATAGAGGTAGTAAACACAGTATATGAAAAAGGAGAATTTTTAGTCTTAGTTGTGTTGACATAAAATAGTTCGAAGTGCTTTAATCTGGCTTCTGCCTTCATGATTAGAAACCATGTTTCCACAGTGGCCAATTACTGCCATGTAATTGAAATCAATAGCCTTTATCATTTCTTATTTATAGAGTTCTTATTTGAACTCTCATAACAACATCTCTTATTGTTGACCATTCCCTCCTTTTTGAAATACTCTTTTCCTTGATTTCTATGATACCAAATTCTCCTAGTTTTCCTTCTATTTCTCTTACCACCATCAGTCCCTTTCACTAATTCATCCTTACTCACCTCATCAGTACATGTTGTAAAGCCTCAAAATTTAATATTAGACCTTCTCTGTTTATTCTTTAGGAATCCCTGGATGGTTCATATGGTTAAGCACTTAACTACTAACTGAAAGGCTGGCAGTTCAAACTCACCGAGAACCACCTTGAAAGCTAGACCTGGGTATACACATGGGGTTGCCATGACAACTAATTTAGGCTTTTGGTTTTGTCTCACCATAAACTATCTCAACCACATCTTTAGCTTTGATTAATCAAAACCAACTCAAGACTCCCATACTTACGTATTTAACGAAGCCCTTGCCATTGGACTCTAGTCCCCTATATCAATGCCTACTGAACATAGTCATTTTGATATTTCAAAGGCATATCAAAATCAACATGTCCAAAACAAACTTATCAGATTCCTCCCAAAAAAGAGACTCCTCCAGTATTTCCTACTGAAGAGCCCTGGTTGCACAATTAATAAACCGCTCAGCTGCTAACCCACAGGTCAGTGGTTAGAACCACCATTTGCTTTGTGGAAGAAAGATGTGGTAGTCTGTTTCCATAAAGATTACGGCCTTAGAACCCTACAGGGCAGTTTTACTCTGTCCTACAAAATCATGGAGTTGGAATCGATCCAATGGCAATGGATAAAGGGTACCAACATTCATTCAGCTGTGAAAGTCAGAAACTTGACACTCCAATTCCTGTATCTAATCTGTTACCAAGTCCCATCAATCTCACCTCCTAACTATTTTAATATTGCATTGCTACACTCTAATCCAAATTTCTGTATCACCTGAACTACTTAAGACTCTCCTAATCACCTAGCATCCACTCTTGCTTCCCTTCAATCCTCCTCCATATAACAATCAGCATGATCCTTTTATATCAAAGCCTGATCATGTTACTTTTGCACTTCAAGTTCTTCATTGGCTTCTTGCTAGTCTTAAGAAATGTTATGATTTTCTAGAATTCAACCAATGAACTTTCACACAAAATTGAAAAAAATATTAGACAACTTATCAATTAAGAAACTAAGTCTCACTTATACTTTTGTAGATGAATGGGTTTTGGAATTTGATAGTTACATGCTTTTTAAAATCATAATCCCAGTAAAAGTGTATTCGCTTTATTTATTTATTTTTTTTTTTAAAAAAAGCCTATTTTAACACATAAGATTTAGAAAGTGGAAAAGAATGAAAATCCTTTGTTTCAGAGGAAATTCTTCAAGTGAGACTAAACATAAGTATGCCATATAAAAGTACATAGAATTGCTATAAAGTATTACTGACAGAAAACAAGATACATAACACCACAAGAAAGTATGCAGAAAAATCCAGAATGTGAGAAATTCAACTGGCTCACACTTTTCAGTAAGTTAACAGCATAAAAAAATAGGAAATAAAGTGTTCAAAATTTAAGGAGATTTAGGAGGAATAACCAGAAGCAGTATGTAGGCCTTGATGGATTCTTTTTTATTGTTGTGGTTGCTGCTAAGTTTTTGTAACAGGTTTTTTTTTTTTTTTTAATTTTTATTGTGATTTGGGTGATAGTTTACAGAGCAAATTCACTTTCCATACAGCAGTTCACGGGAGAATAGAAGGGCTGTGAATGCACAAGGAGACAGCTCCGGGAATAGCAGTGCATGGGAGGGAAGGTCAACTGGGAAGGGACCTATACTTTGTCTCATGATACTGACTGCAGTTTCCCACAATTCAACAGCTCCCTTCCCAGTTCCTCCCCATAGTTACCTCTACCCTGTGTTCTTCCCTCCCATGCACTGCTGTTCCCGCACTGCTGGCATTCACAGCCCTTCTATTCTCCCATGATTGATCTTTCCAAGGAGTGTACCTGCCTAATGTCAATGTTAGCTCATATGCCTGTCTTTGGTTTGGCTGGAAGCCATAGGAGTGGGTTCAATTCCAGACCTGAAGGGCAGCTAGGGGCCACAGTCTCAGTGGTTCCACCAGGCTCTATCAGACCAGCAAACCTGGTCTCCCCACCCCCTTTTTTTAAATGATTTTGAGTTTTGTTCCACATTGTTCTCCCACTCTATCCAGGATCTCCTATTTAGATCCCCCTCCGAGTGGTTGACAGTGGTAGCTGGGCACCATCTAGTTTCTGGTCTCATAGTCATATAGGCTGAGGATTGCATGGTGTACCAGTCCCTATAAAAGTATTTAAGACATTTCATATGCAACACAATTCACTAATTTAAAGTGTCAATACAACAAAGATATTTAAGAAACCACTGACAGATCCAAGGTTATGAAGATTTACTCTGTCCTTCTTCTAAGAGTTTTATAATCTGAGCTCCTGCATTTAGGTTTTTGGTCCACTTAGACTTGTTTATATGGTATGAGATAGGGGTCTTCTGCACATGGATATCTAGTTATTTCAGCAGCATTTGTCGAAAGGACTATTATTTCCCTGTTGAGCTATTTTGACATCTTTGTCAAAAACCAATTGCTCAAAAATGAATGAGTTTATTTCAGGATCTCAAATCTATTCCATTAATTTACATTTATATACAAACCTCAGTACCACATTGTCTTGATTACAGTAGCTTTGTAGTAAGTTTTGAAATCAGGAAGTATGAGTTCTCCAATCTGGTTCTTCCTTTCCAACTTTATTTTGGATAGTCTAGGTCTCTTGCATTTCTATACAAAGTTTAGGATCAGCTTGTCAATATCTGCAGAACTCCAGCTGATATTTTGATAAGGATTTCACTGAAACTGTAGATCAATTTGGAGAGTACTGTCATCTTAACAGTATTAGGTCTACTGATCAACAAACATGAATGTCTATTTATTTAGATATTCTTTATTTTTTTTCAATGATATTTTGTAGTTTCCAGAATATAAGGTTTGCATTACCTTTGTTAAATTTATTCCCAAGTATTATGTTTTATACTATTGGAAATTATTTTCTTAATTTTACTTTTATTGTTCAATGCCAATGTATAGATATACAATTGATTTCTGTATAATGATCTTACAACCTGCAATCTTGCTGAGCCTGTTTATTAGTTCTAATAGTTTTAGCACACTCCTTAGGATTTTTCTATAAACAAGAGTATGTCATCTGTGAATATAAATCTACTTTTTTGTCTCCAATTTGGATGTCTTTTATTTCAATTAGTCAAGAAAATGAAATAAAAAGCATCTAGCCTTGGTTAGAGCACCCAATACAATGCTGAACAGCAGTAGCAAGAGCAGATATCCTTGTTTTTTTTCCTGATCTTAGGAGGAAAACATTCGGTATTTCACCATTAAGTGTAATGTTATGTGAGAGTTTTTTTGTAGATAAATCAGGTTGAGGATGTTCCCTACTAGTCCTAGTTTGTTAAGTGTTCTTCTCATAAAGGGGTATTGAATTTTGTCAAATGTTTCTTTTTATGTCTGTTGAAAAAATCATGTAGTTTCTGTCTTTATTCTATTGGTAAGGCACATTACATCAATTGACCTCTGGATGTTAAACCAATCTTGCATTACTGGGATAAATTCCACTTGGTCATAATATATAATCCTTTGTATATGCTGCTGGATTTAATTTGCCAGTATTTTATTAGAATTTTTATATCTATATTGTTACGAGATATTGGTCTGTAGTTCTCTTTTCTTACAGTTTTCTATATGCCTGGATTAGGTATACAGTGATACTGGCCTCACTGAATGAATTGGGAAATGTTCCCTCTTTCTGTTTTTGTGAACAACTGGTACTGATTCTTCTTTAAATATCTTACACAAATGACCATGAATCAGTATGGGTCTGACCTTTTCTTTGTCTTTTAATTCCAAATTCATTATCTTTTGCCATACATCTACTCAGATATTCTATTTCTTCCTGAGT